ACCTGATTTTGACAGGTACCTGATCCCCCTACTGCTCCGACCGCCTAGGTCACGTGTCAAACACAGGGCCCGGCCCGCCAGGCCATTTCGTGTAACCCTCACACCCAGGGCTTTTTTTTTAGCTGGAAAGTGGCAGAGTGGTGTAGAGGTCAAAGCTGAGAAGGAGAGGTGGAAAAGAGATGTGAACAGCCCTTGAAAGAGCTGCACTCTGCGCCCAGCGCACCCCTAGGCCCCGCACTCTGCGCCCAGCACACCCCTAGGCCCCGCACTCTCCGCCCAGCACACCCCTAGGCCCCGCACTCTGCGCCCAGCACACCCCTAGGCCCCGCACTCTGCGCCCAGCACACCCCTAGGCCCCGCACTCTGCGCCCAGCACACCCCTAGGCCCCGCACTCTGCGCCCAGCACACCCCTAGGCCCCGCACTCTGCGCCCAGCACACCCCTAGGCCCCCGCACTCTGCGCCCAGCACACCCCTAGGCCCCGCACTCTGCGCCCAGCACACCCCTAGGCCCCGCACTCTGCGCCCAGCACACCCCTAGGCCCCGCACTCTGCGCCCAGCACACCCCTAGGCCCCCCCGCACTCTGCGCCCAGCACACCCCTAGGCCCCGCACTCTGCGCCCAGCACACCCCTAGGCCCCGCACTCTGCGCCCAGCACACCCCTAGGCCCCGCACTCTGCGCCCAGCACACCCCTAGGCCCCGCACTCTGCGCCCAGCACACCCCTAGGTCCTGCACTCTGCGCCCAGCACATCCCTAGGCCCTGCACTCTGCGCCCAGCACACCCCTAAGCCCTGCACTCTGTAAGACTATGTATGGAGTTCAGGAGTTCTGCCATGTACATATACAAACAGCCCTTTGAAGGCAACCTAATGCTGATGCGGCCCGTGATGAAATTGAGTTTGACACCCCTGGCCTAGGTGATTGGAAGCGGAAGTTGTCCTCCCTCCCTGTAGTGTTCTAGGATGTTTCCCAGAGGAATACAGGACCATTCACAATGCGCAGTGCTAGTTGCGCATACGCAGTGGGCACCCAGCCTTTATTCCCCAGTTCAGATTATCTGTTAGGAGCTCCATAATCCTACGGGCTCCGGCATCCACCAAACACAAGTAGCAGTTTTGCAAGGACTGGCCCTTTAAAAGGACGCTTTTTGTTAAAAACTGGTATTCAGCAATGTTGCCTTTCAGCTACAAACCGCATTTTGTGGTGTTAAATAGCTTGACTTTACCGTACATTTACCGTGTGAACTCTACTATCAATCCATTGGAAAACACGAAGTGCTGGCCCCATTACACAAATCATGTAACTGGATCTCTCTGGCACGCCGTCCTTGTGACGAAAGGCCTGGAAAATAAGCAGTTAAGTACGGCTCCGGTGTCAGGTGAAAACTGGCGTTGGTTACACAGGATGGTTCGTCCAGCTTGACTGCAGGCACATTACATCAGGCTCGCTAGAAAGGCCTGGGTTAGGTTTCTGGAGCTTGGTGTCATTGCTGGGCTGAAAGGGGCACTAGTGATAACGAGGACTGATGGATGGTTACAGGGGGGAGACAACATTGGGGGTTATTTACTAATACTGGAGAGTGCAAAATCTGGTGCAGCTCTGTATAGAAACCATCAGCTTCCAGGTTTTATTGCCAAAGCTGAATTGAAAAATCTGAAGTGAGAAACTGATAGGCTACCATACACCAGATTCCGAGTGCTTCAATTCCAGTAAATCTCCCCCACTGTGCTAAAGCAGTAAAATACAAGGATTGCTTATACTCTCTGGGCCACCTCTCCCTGTAAAAATCACCTACTGGTAGGGACCAGAAGAGAACCACAACAGCTTGGGTGGTCCTCCAAAGGAGTCGGTCACCTCCCAGTACTGGCCTTCCTAGGCAATGAAAAGGAAGTGGGCCTAGATCTCTTCCTGCCTGTAAAGAGAAACAGACTGGGGGGGCAACAATGGATGAGAGCCCCACCATCAAAGGGATGGAAGGGGGCAAAAGGGGTGGATGCAGGACCACAACGGAGAATCCTGAGTCTCCCTCCACCAGGTTCCAAGCAATGCATCTCTTCTGGATGAAGGAAACTCAATTACCAACCAGTTCGGCAGAAGGACTTCCTTTAAAGGTCTTTTTGGTGATGTGTTTCCTGCTCCTCTTGGTGGAGGTGCCTATCTCTCATGTGCTGTCCCGGAAGATGGTGTAGAAGCATTGTCACCTTAGGATAGAATGGTGTTTGGACTACTAAACACCTTCTCCCTCTCCTTTCTCCATGACATTGGGTGTTCTGTAGTCCACAGAGATAGCCGGGAACAATACTAACCCAGTATTTCACAAACATCTGGGTGACTTGGGTTGCTGTGAACATAGAATCCAGTTTGCACTGCTATGAACTGCCATAGTGCAGGCAGGCCGGTTGCCGACACTTCACCAAACAAGGATACTCTAGGGCACAGGCCTCCAGGCCATTTCATGTGGCCCTTGCACCTCTCCTGCAGGTACCCCCTTGTCTCTGACCCAACCGAGCTCACATAAGTGAAAAGGCCAGGTGTCCTCAACTGTTTGGCCATATGTCGTCTCTTAAGCCAGACATAGATGGATAGAAATTCAGGATCTTCTATAGCACAGGTGTCAAACACAAGGCTCGCGGGCCAAATCTAGCCCTCCAGGCCATTTCATGTGGCCCTTGCACCTCTCCTGCAGGTACCCCCTTGTCTCCACCCCCACCCTGACTTAGCAGTCGGCAGCAGAGAGAACATAACTCCTTTGCCAAATTCTGCACCTCTCAGTGCAGCTGTGGCACCCCCTCATCTCTGCCTCCCCTAGTCTCAGCATTCAGCATACTCTGGTAACTGAATGCACTCCTCATCTGGTCCTCCTCCAGACCCTGCCCTTTCTTCTTTTCAGCTCTGCCCCTAATGGTGGTGCATGCTGATGTTAGGGAGGGTGTGGGATTCTTGACATTTGATGTAATGGGGGGGTGCTATGGACATCTGGTCTTACAGATACAACCGGCCTTTGAGGGCAACCATAATGTTGATACAGTCCACAATGAAATGGAGTTTGTCACCCCTGCTCTAGGGCCAGGACGCATTACGTCATTTGTTGCTATGGTGAGGCAGCGGACTAGCCCACATTATGGCAATGCATGACATCCCTAGAATTCAGGAGAAGACTTTTTCCATCATCCACCCCCTACTTTGCTGCTGGAGCCAAAAGGTTAGTGCTCTGATAAAAGAGGACTGTGTGATTGAAGGGGCTCTGATGTGATGGGGGGGGGGACGGACATCTGGAATGACAGAAAACCTCTGATGTGGGGAGCCTTGATGCATCGGACATGTAGGGGTGACTCGAATGTGATGGGGGAACCTCCGTCACGATGGGGGACCTCTGAACTAATGGGGGAACCTCTGATGTGATCGGGAGACTCTGATGTGTGATGGGGGGGAACTCTGATGTGATGGGAGGCTTCTGACATGAAGTTGAGTTCACCAAGGTAGTTGTGTGCATCTTCCCAGGCTCAGGTTTCCTATTCATAACTAACCTTTACATTTTTAGACTGGGGTGCCTCAACTGAAAATTGGGCGCAGCACATGAAGTTTCCAAGTCACAAGATTTCTGGCAGGATTGACAGTTTTTTTTTTTTTGCACTTATCGAACAAATATCAAAATGTTTTCATTGTAATTTTTAAAGTGATTCTAAAGGCTTAAATATTTTTAACTTAATGCCTTTTCTGTATTAGGATAAAAGCTCTTCTGTGCTGCAGGATCCTCCCCAGCCCCCCCTTATACTTATCTGAGCCCAATCTCAATCCAGCACTGTGCCCAAGAGCAGCGACTCTCTCCCGCCTCACAGGGCAGATTGACAGCTAATAGCTCCTGCTGCTGTCAAATTCTGTGAGGCTGAGCCGCATTGCCTGTGCCTATAGACAAGCAGCATGGCTCACAATCGAGCCCACAGGACTTCCCCCCCATAGGAAGCGCCTTCCAATGGGGGCACTCACTAAAGTTGAGGAGCTAGGTGCGTCAGCGGGGGACCCCCAAAGAGGAGGATCGGGGCTGCTCAGGGCAAAACCACTGCATAGGGCGGGTAAGTACGACATGTTTATTATTAAAAAAAAATAAATAAAAAAGGTTTATAAATCACTTTGCCAGATCAGAAAGGACCCAATAAGAAACTAATAACATCTAAATATACTTTAAAGCATGTATACAGGGCTGTGAATAAGGGGGTACCACCAAGACTCCTGTACGGGGCCCAGGTCAGCAGGGGGGCCCAGGCAGCTAGGTGAATTGGATGTAGGCAGAGAGGGAGATCGGCACGGTGGGGGAGGGGGGGGCGATTACTGGAACAGATGCCCTGTATGGCTCTCTCTGCAGCATCTGAAAGCTGGATTCTTCTCCTCTCCCTCGCGCTGGTTTTCAGCTGCTGCAGAGAAAGCCATACAAGGGATCGGTTCCAGTAACTGCCCCCACCCACCATGCCGATCACCCTCCCTGTGCACATCTGATTCACCTAGCTGCCTGGGCCCCCCACAGTGCCGGCTTCCCTCCTCTCCTTCCCACCGGCAGCTGCAAGCACACAATAAGATTCTTCAGGATGGAGAGTAGGGGAAGGGTCTGACATATATGTCACATTAACCAGCTCCTTCCTTTCCTGAATGAACACAATTGAGTGATCAGCACTGATCACTCACTGTGTTCATTCATAACTAAAGCGTAGTAAACTGTTTTTTTTTTTTTTTTTAAAGGGGCCCTGTGGTTTCTAACCGCAGTCCTGCATGTATACAATTGTTAATGTTACCTGCAGCAACCAAGCATCTCCCTTCTATTCCGCCATACTGCACTAAAATGATGCAAAGAAGCAACAAGAACATCCTCTCATTACAAAAGGGACCTCAGATTCCTCGTAGCCTGATTGTGTGGATCAGCCAGTGACTGGACCCATGTTTCAGCTGGTGTCCTGCATGTACATAAGGTGGGATTTCCACCCGCAAAGTGTAAAAGGCCTTACCTCTTTGTGTTATGAATGGCGGTCCCACCCAGGATGATGCGTACACCTGGAGTCGTCCGATTCAGGTTGTAGACAGTTAAAGCCTCTTCGTAGGTAGCTCCGCCCACAATGAACACAATAATATCCTGAGGCCTGAAAGACACGCATGCCAAATAGGCAAAGGAGTAAAATGAGTCAGAAAGTCTGCAACTTGCTAATAATTAGAATCTGGCATTAAACTAGAATTACAGCTAAACCTTTTTTTCCCCATTATGGATAGTGTAAGGGAGGGTTATAACTAGTGGTGCACCGAAATGAAAATTCTGGTGCCGAAACCGAAAATTCAAAATGCGCTTGGCCGAAAACCGAAATGCAGAGTTTTTAAAAATGAATATATATTTTTCACTTTGATTAAAAAAAACAAACAAAAAAAAAAACCAATACATACCCCAATTTTTTTGTAAATTATGAAAGAGGATGTTACGGCGAGTAAATAGATACCAAACATGTCACGCTTTAAAATTCCGTACACTCGTGGAATAGCGTGAAACTGCGATACTTAAAAAGCTCCATAGGTGATGCTATAAAAATGTCTACAGGTTAGCAGTGTAATGTTACAGGGGTCTAGTGCGAGGATTGCTGCTCTTAATCGGACGTTCGTGGCGATGCCTCACGTGTGTGGTTTCAACACCATTTAGATATGTGGGCGTGGCCTATGTATGCATTCACCACTACGTGCGAGCACGGGGGGCCTTTAAACATTTTATTAGTTATTTAATTTTTTTTGTTTTTTTTGCACTGTCCCTTTAAAACAAAATTGTAATCACTTTTAATTCTTATCATAATAAATGCATGCATCCCTATCCCTGATAGTAATAATTAGTGACAGGTCCTCTTTATGGAGAGATATGGAGTCAATAAATCCCCACATCTCTCCACTGCAATGTAAAGCATTAGATAAAAAAAAAAAGCACTGATCTAGTACCTTAGTAAAAAAAAAAAAAAAAATGGCCAGAACCCCAAGTGATATCGCTCCGGTCCTCCAAGGGCATAGAGATGAGTGGAGGCCATCTTTCCTTCACTCATCTCTATGCCCAGCGTCGGGATCGTTCGATGGTTTCTCAGGTAAGGCTGAGAACTACCGAGTGGTGGCCGGTGGTGGCGAGGGTTTTTTCGGCACCTGTGTTGATGCTTTTTTTCATATCGAAAGGGCTGTTTTCGGCCGAAGAGTTTCGCCCACCGAAATTTCGGTGCATCCCTAGCTAGGTTTCTTTTGGCCCTCTTTGTCCCAAATAGGGAGATTTCCCTTCACTTCCTGTCCCATAGACAAAACAGGAAGTGAGAGAAACTCCCTGCAAATTAAAGTATAACTAACGACAAAACTTTTGTTTTTAGGTTTGGATAGAATGGAGATGGATTAGAACCCCTGTCAGTTTTTATTGCCGTCTGTGTCCCCATTAAGGAGATTTTCCCTCTCTTCTCCTGTTTATCTTTGAAAGGGAAGTAAAAGAAAATCCCAATTTTTGGGCTGTCCCCAGAAAAGTAATAGAGGGGAGATCTTCCAATGGGGAAGCAGTTTGGTATTCTCATCGTGTTAGTACAGCCAGCAGCCTGCCAAAGTCCCATACATAGTCCTTCTCAAGCCAGTGTACACAGCGATTGTAATGGCCTCAGCAGCCACATCAGTTTTTTAAAAGTTATGCATGCTCTACTTTTTCCACATTCCACTGTGATTTGCAACCAATTAAAATGAATGAGCAGCAAAATCGCATCGCAGAGGAATGTGACAGTGCGTCCCTGGTGTGAACCGGTCCGAAAAATACCGCTTTCAAAGCGATCGTATGATGATCTGATCGTTAGTGCACAGCTTTCGTCAGAAATAATTTGAAGAGACAAGCACAAAAATTATTCTCGTACAATACTAGATCGTGCGATTTTCTTTTAATCAGTACGGTTTTGTTCAAAAATACAATTTAAATATTTATTTCAGGTACTTATATAGCACCGTCAATGTGTCCAGACAGAGGTCAGGGGTTCTGCATCCTCCTAGAGCAGAAATAAAACTCCTCCTACAAGCTTTAACCAGTGCTCTGCTGGACACTGATAGAAGTCACAAGACTGCTATATACTCCTGACGAGAAAAGGTATTTAGCAGTTTATATTTACTAAAATAATTACATTTCCATGTTCTGTGTACTGTGGGTGACCAGAAATAGCGAATGCGGGGTCCGGAGAGAGCGGCTACAGTGAATGCCGGGTCCGGGGAGAGCGGCTACAGTGAATGCAGGGTCCGGGGAGAGCGGCTACAGTGAATGCGGGGTCCGGGGAGAGCGGCTACAGTGAATGCGGGGTCCGGGGAGAGCGGATATAGTCAATGCAGGGTCCGGGGAGAGCAGATATAGTGAATGCAGGGTCCGGGGAGAGCGGATATAGTGAATGCAGGGTCCGGGGAGAGCGGATATAGTGAATGCGGGGCCCGAGGAGAGTGGATATAGTGAATGCGGGGCCCAGTGAGAGCGGATATAGTGAATGCAGGGTCCAGGGAGAGCGGATATAGTGAATGCAGGGTCCGGGGAGAGCGGATATAGTGAATGCAGGGTCCGGGGAGAGCGGATATAGTAAATGCAGGGTCCGGGGGAGAGCGGATATAGTGAATGCAGGGTCCGGGGAGAGCGGATATAGTGAATGCAGGGTCCGGGGAGACCGGATATAGTGAATGCAGGGTCCGGGGAGAGCGGATATAGTGAATGCAGGGTCCAGGGAGAGCAGATATAGTGAATGCAGGGTCCAGGGAGACCAGATATAGTGAATGCAGGGTCCGGGGAGAGCGGATATAGTGAATGCAGGGTCCGGGGAGAGCGGATATAGTGAATGCAGGGTCCGGGGAGAGCGGATATAGTGAATGCAGGGTCCGGGGAGAGCGGATATAGTGAATGCAGGGTCCGGGGAGAGCGGATATAGTGAATGCAGGGTCCGGGGAGAGCGGATATAGTGAATGCAGGGTCCGGGGAGAGCGGATATAGTGAATGCGGGGCCCGGTGAGAGTGGATATAGTGAATGCGGGGCCCAGTGAGAGCGGATATAGTGAATGCAGGGTCCAGGGAGAGCGGATATAGTGAATGCAGGGTCCAGGGAGAGCGGATATAGTGAATGCAGGGTCCAGGGAGAGCGGATATAGTGAATGCAGGGTCCAGGGAGAGCGGATATAGTGAATGCAGGGTCCAGGGAGAGCGGATATAGTGAATGCAGGGTCCAGGGAGAGCGGATATAGTGAATGCAGGGTCCGGGGAGAGCGGATATAGTGAATGCAGGGTCCGGGGTTTAGTAATACTTTAAGCTTTGACAATAAAACCTGGAAGCTGATGGTTTCTATGCAGAGCTGCACCAGGTTTTGCACTCTCCAGTTTTAGTAAATAACCCCCATTTTCTTCTTATACTACAAAAGACTGGACAGAGTCCAGAGAGCAATTAGCTGAACTAAAACTGTGTTGGATTCCAGAAGTGCTAACCATTCAGCCACTGTGCTGCCCCACGTCACTTCCAAATTTTTATTGTCATATTGAAAGTGAAGGGGTTAGTAAAGTTACAATAATTCTTGTACGAAACTAGCATGCAAAAAAAAAAAAAAACCCCAAAAAAAATGGACAATCATTCGTCCGATATTTTCATCGTGTGTACGGGGCTTAAAGCGGAGTTCCACCTGAAAAAAAAAAAGCTAGCAGCTACAAGAACTGTAGCTGCTGACACTTAAAATACAGACACTTACCTGTCCCTCAGTCCAGCGGTGTCCTCACCACGGCTGGTTTCACTGACCCTCTTCTCTCCCCGGTGCCGACATCTTCAGTGTGGGCACCCGGCTGTGACAGCTTGCGGCTTCACAGCCGGGTGCCCACTGCACATGCCCGAGAAGCGTTGCGCTTTGTGAATGGCCCCGTAGTCTTCTGGGACTTGTCACGTGTCCCAGAAGACTACGAGGAGGGAGGGAGGAAAACTTCTGTTTCCGATCGCCTAGGCGACTGCAGCGGAAGTGGGAGCGGGTACCTGTCAAATTCGGGTACCCGCTCCCCAAAGGTGCCAGTCCTTAATGGGGAGCGGGGGGACAAAGCATTAAAGCAGAACTTCCCCTTTTGGGTGGAGCTCCGCTTTAAGACTAGAAGTCAGGGGAAACCATTGGGACAAAGACTCCAATAAAAACCCAACGGGATCTAATTCTTCCATGCGGTATTGAGAATGTTGTGTTGCAGTGATTTGCCTTCACATCTTGTCAGGATTTATTGTGTCTCAGGAGTCTTACCGGTCCCTCAGTGTGTTGGGCCCCACGTAGGGGTACGTGTTGTCTCTCAGCTTCCCTTTAATCAGCTTGTCCAGGGTTTCCAGGAGGAGCGGCTGGTGTTGGGTGTACACGTTCTCCACCCCCTATGGGAAAACAAATGTCAAACAGGTAACACGAGGGCTCGTAGCCGATTTGCAGGCAGATGCTAAAGGAAAAAAAAAAAGCTAATGCAGCTCGGCATGTATCGATAAATCATTAATAGCATCTTATATACAGTGGGGAAAATAATTACTTGATCCCCTGCAGATGTTGTAAGTTTACCCACAAGAAATGAAGGCTCTATAATTTTTATCATAGGTGTATTTTAACCACTTCCAGTCCGTACACTTTCACCCCCTTCCTGTCCAGGCCAGTTTTCAGCTTTCAGTGCTATCACACTTTGAATGACAATTGCGCGGTCATGCAACACTGTACCCATATGAATTTTTTAGCTTTTTTTAAACAGATAAAGCTTTATTTTGATGGTATTTATTCACCGCTGGGATTTTTATTTTTTCTGCTATGTAAATTAAAAAGTCCAAAAATTTTGAAAAAAGTGTTTTCCTTAAAAAAGTTTGCAAATAAATAGTATTTCATCATAAATCTTGGCCAAAATTTGTTCCGTTATATTTTTAGTAAAAAAAAAAATAACCCAACTTTATTAGTTGGGTTATTAGTTACAAGTTTATAACCAAAAATTATAATTTTTAAACTTTTTTTATTGCTTTTATATTATTATTTTTTTTTTTTTTACATACTACTTGTGGGGGGTGATGAAGATTTAGATTTTTTTTTTTTTTTTTAACACTGATTGCTTTTACACCCATAAAGGCTGTAAATGCAATCATTTTTCCTTCTCTCTAGCTGCATTCTTGCAGCCATTGAGAACTACTGAGTGAGCTATGATTGGTCACAGCTTGTCACATGGTACAAGGCTGTTGTGAATAGCCCTGTACCATGTGACCTCTGTGATCATTCATAGATTTCGTAGATAGTAAGCAATGATGTCAGAATTGACATCTTGCTTACTACTCTGCATGTGATCACTGATTGGCCAATCAGTGATGACATGATTGGGACCTCGCACAGAGGTCCCGTCTGACGATCGGTGTTCCACTGTGTCAGGAGAACACAGCGGGCACCGAATCGCGGTGCTGCACATTCCCAGTGAGCGCGCACAAGCAGGGTGCGGGCAGGCCGTTTATAAATGGCCACTCAACCCTGCACTGCCACCGTCCGGCCGTTTATATACAACGGCTGGACAGGAAGTGGTTAAATGACAGAGACAGAATATCAAACAAAAATCCAGAAAAAAATCCAAAACAAAAAAAAACACGATACAAATGTTATAAATTGAGTTGCAGGTCAGTGAGTAAAAAGAGTAATTGATACCCAACAAAACATGACTTGGTGGCTGGTGGAGAAACCCTTGTGGGTGAGCACAGCGGGAAGAAGACGTTTCTTGTAGTGAGGAAACCATGTGCCCGTGCAAAATGCGGCCCGCAGGAACGCGGATATGTGAACCAGGGGTAAGTCCTCACGCACACGGGACGTTTTGATAAGTTGTATAAAGTCACATTTAGAGGCACTTTTCCACACTTGTGTTTTTTAGTTTTCTCAACTTTTTTTTTTTTTTAAGAAAAAAAAATGTTTTTTTTGGTCAAAATAACATGCAAAAAAACACCGGTTTGCAGCATTTTACATTGTTTTTCAGCGTTGGAGCATTTTTTTTTACAGCTAAAAAACTCTAGATACCCACTAGTTTTGGGGTTTTTTTCCAGCCAAAAAACGTTGATTCCAGTCTGTGTGTGCATGGATACATAGGATAACATGCTGGGGGGGTTTACTGGCTGTAGAAAAAAACGCCAAGACAAAAACAGCCGCTGTAAAAACGTCCCGTGTGCATGAGGACTAAGGGTTCAGTGGGCACATTCACCCAAAACTGGAATGTTACATCGGGGCAGATAGACGGCTGAGACAGCAACCAGCTCGACATGGACAGCTCGCTGGAGCCACCGGCTATATACTCATTGCTGTGAAATTTGGTCCTCCTGCATTGTCTACAGTGTGAAAACAAAATCCAGTGCCGAGAGCCAGAACTGGGAACACCTTTGCAGATATTAGTGCTGGCATTTGTTAAGAATCAGCCAGTGCCAATGAGTGACCCAAGCCACCAGCATAACCACCGTCAATGAGTGACCCAAGCCACCAGCATCAACCACCGTCAATGAGTGACCCAAGCCACCAGCATCAACCACCGCCAATGAGTGACCCAAGCCACCAGCATCAACCACCGTCAATGAGTGACCCAAGCCACCAGCATCAACCACCGTCAATGAGTGACCCAAGCCACCAGCATCAACCACCGCCAATGAGTGACCCAAGCCACCAGCATCAACCACCGCCAATGAGTGACCCAAGCCTCCAGCATCAACCACCGTCAATGAGTGACCCAAGCCACCAGCATCAACCACCGTCAATGAGTGACCCACGCCACCAGCATCAACCACCGCCAATGAGTGACCCAAGCCACCAGCATCACCCACCGCCAATGAGTGACCCACGCCTCCAGCATCAACCACCGTCAATGAGTGACCCAAGCCACCAGCATCAACCACCGCCAATGAGTGACCCACGCCACCAGCATCAACCACCGCCAATGAGTGACCCACGCCACCAGCATCAACCACCGCCAATGAGTGACCCACGCCACCAGCATCAACCATTGCCAATGAGTGACCCAAGCCACCAGCATCAACCACCGCCAATAAGTCACCAACGCCACCAGCATCACCCACCGCCAATGAGTGACCCAAGCCACCAGCACCAAACATCGCCAATGAGTGACCCAAGCCACCAGCATCACCCACCGCCAATGAGTGACCCAAGCCACCAGCATCACCCACCGCCAATGAGTGACCCAAGCCACCAGCATCACCCACCGCCAATGAGTGACCCAAGCCACCAGCATCACCCACCGCCAATGAGTGACCCACGCCACCAGCATCAACCATTGCCAATGAGTGACCCAAGCCACCAGCATCACCCACCGCCAATGAGTGACCCAAGCCACCAGCATCACCCACCGCCAATGAGTGACCCAAGCCACCAGCATCACCCACCGCCAATGAGTGACCCAAGCCACCAGCATCACCCACCGCCAATGAGTGACCCACGCCACCAGCATCACCCACCGCCAATGAGTGACCCACGCCACCAGCATCAACCATCGCCAATGAGTGACCCAAGCCACCAGCATCACCCACCGCCAATGAGTGACCCAAGCCACCAGCATCAACCACCATATCTACTACGAATACATTTACAGCCAAGGATAAAGTGCTGAAATCAGGATCTCACTGACCTTGAGTCCCTTGAAGAACTGTTTGGTAATGGCCACTGCATCTTTCGGGCTAAAGAGGTCGCTGTCTCTGACCCGCTTCCCGCCGAATTCCAACACTGCAGACACCAGCTGTCATCAGGATGGGATGGGAAGACAAACATGTCAGAGGTTACCAGAATAAATGACTCCCTCAAAGTTTTTTTCTTTAAGTCTTATAGTAAGGGCAGGGGCGGACTGACAACTCATGGGGCCCCTGGGCAATAGGGGATCATGGGGCCCCTGTGTCCTTGCCCACACTCAAACCACACCCAAAAACGCCTATGAAAAGTACCAGGGGCATCTCATGGGGCCCCCTACTGACCCCGGGCCCTCGGGCGGTGCCCGAGAGCCGAATGGTCAGTCCGTCCCTGAATAAGGACCATGTCTGTGATACTAGCAGGTGAGAGATCGGCCGGTATGAATGTGAGAAACTAACAGAAAAAGGACTAGTTGTGGACTCAACCGGAATAGGGAATTTGTAAATACTCAAGAAAAATAATTCAAACACCTTTCTCCTTTGTTTGAATTATTTTTCTTGAGTATTTACAAAGTTTATGCAAAACAAAAAACAAAAATCATGCACCACACTGTCCCCCCCCTACCACAGCAAGGAACAGACAGATGTCAGAGCAGTAAAGTGCCCTGGCAGTTCCCTGTTCCCATGTGAATGTGCGGGGCCACAGTGCCAGCCCGTGGCCTGGGGGTTTGAGAAACACGCTTTAAAGAGATCCAGCCTGCAAGGCCCTGAATTTTCAGTGTTAAATTGCAGCAGCTATACAGGCTTGCCTATGACAGATGTGGATTATCTCCTGGCAGCACAGTGGCTAAATGGTTAGCACTTCCACCTGACAGTACTAGGGTCATTGGTTCGAATCCTGACCACGGCAACACCTGCCTGGAGTTTGCATGTTCTCCCTGTGCCTGTGTGGGTTTCCTTCCAAAGACATGCTGGTAGGTCAATTGGATCCTATCTAAATTGGCCCTAGTATGTGTATGTATGGATGTAAGTTGGGGACCTTAGATCGTACACCCCTTGAGGGTTAGGGACCTTAGATCGTACGCCCCTTGAGGGTTAGAGACCTTAGATCCTACGCCCCTTGAGGGTTAGGGACCTTAGATCCTACGCCCCTTGAGGGTTAGGGACCTTAGATCCTACGCCCCTTGAGGGTTAGGGACCTTAGATCCTACGCCCCTTGAGGGTTAGGGACCTTAGATCCTACGCCCCTTGAGGGTTAGGGACCTTAGATCCTACGCCCCTTGAGGGTTAGGGACCTTAGATCCTACGCCCCTTGAGGGTTAGGGACCTTAGATCCTACGCCCCTTGAGGGTTAGGGACCTTAGATCCTACGCCCCTTGAGGGTTAGGGACCTTAGATCCTACGCCCCTTGAGGGTTAGGGACCTTAGATCCTACGCCCCTTGAGGGTTAGGGACCTTAGATCCTACGCCCCTTGAGGGTTAGGGACCTTAGATCCTACGCCCCTTGAGGGTTAGGGACCTTAGATCCTACGCCCCTTGAGGGTTAGGGACCTTAGATCCTACGCCCCTTGAGGGTTAGGGACCTTAGATCCTACGCCCCTTGAGGGTTAGGGACCTTAGATTGTACACCCCTTGAGGGTTAGGGACCTTAGATTGTACGCCCCTTGAGGGTTAGGGACCTTAGCTTGTACGCCCCTTGAGGGTTAGGGACCTTAGATTGTACGCCCCTTGAGGGTTAGGGACCTCAGATTGTACGCCCCTTGAGGGTTAGAGACCTTAGATTGTATGCCCCTTGAGGGTTAGGGACCTTAGATCGTACGCCCCTTGAGGGTTAGGGACCTTAGATTGTACGCCCCTTGAGGGTTAGGGACTGATGTGAATGTATATGTAAAGCGCTGAGTACATTGATGGCGCTACACAAGTACCTGTAGTACTACGTAGTGTTACTTTGTCTAAGCCTGACACTTTAGCTACAGTCACCCGCCAACATCCAAAAACACCTGTCAACATACAAATGCTAAGCCCTACATTGCAGAATTAAGGGTACAGACCATCAATTCGGTCACCTTGCCGGTACTCACCCTTCGGTACTTCTCAGACACGCCGCGGCTACGGAGGTCAGCCAGCAAACTCTGCAGGGCGTTGTTGCTGTGTCGCTCATAATGCAAAGCGTAGAGCATCACCAGACGGACGGCGTCCAACTCTGCCAGGCGTTGGTTCTGTAGGAGACGTTTAACATTCTGTACAGAGGAGAGATAGAAAGAAGAATCAGCAACCTGTCTGCTTACCTACCGAGGAAGCAAGGGAAGGTCACATCTCATCTCTCCATCATCACCTTCCACATGTCTTGATTCTGTCCAGCTTTCCTCTCATACATAAACGTAAAGTGGTAGTAAACCGTGACTTTCTTTAAAATAAAAAACCTGCAAGACAATGTCACGATGTGCTAGTATGCATCACATACTGCACAATACTTACCTTAAAATGAATCCCACTGACAGAACTTCCATCTTCACAAGGTCCTTTTGGATTTGTGGGCTCCGGCGGCTTGAATGGCCGAGCTGCGATGACGTCACTCTTGCGCATGCGCCACTTTTTACAGCACTCAGCTCTGAAGGAACGGCACAGGTATACCGTTCCTGCAGAGCGCATGCAGAGCTGTTTTCTACAAATATAAAAATCTCAAACAGTGCACGTTTAGGAGACATTTACAGTACCTACAGCAGGGTTTCTTAACCAGGGTTCCATGTAACTATAGGGTTCCTCCAGAGCTTGCTAGGGGTTCCTTGAGCAAGGAGCAATATCCACCTCTCAGATGAGTTCCCACTGACACCATTGATATTGATATATTTAGCTTTCTATAAGGGGGTAATTCTTCCCAATGACCACAGATGTAAGGAACATTTTTCCAACTGACCATCACATGAATGTATCATGAGCTGTAGATATAGTCATTTTTAGCAGGGGTTCCCCGAAACCAAAAAGTCATTTCAAGGGTTCCTCTGTGTTGAAAAGGTTGAGAAAGGCTGACCAACAGGTAAGCCTTATTATAGGCGCACCTCTAGGTACAAGTGAGAAAAAAAACGACTCTACTAGCAATTTAAAAGAGTGGACCACTGTGTAGGTACATTCTATGGAGAAGGAAGTGGGTAGCCACCACTGACAGGGCTTCCATCTTCACCAAGTCCTTCTTCCGGCTTTGCGGGCTCCGGCAGCTTGAATGGCCGAGAAAAGATGACGTCACTCCCACGCATGCAGGACTTTATACAGCACTCAGCTCTGAAGGAATGGCATAGGCATACCGTTCCTTCAGAGCACGTGCAGCAATGTCTTCTACAAGTAAAAATCTCAAACAGTGCACGTTTAGGAGATATTTACAGTACCTACAGCAAGGTTTCTCAACCAGGGTTCCTCCAGAGATTACTAGGGTTTCCTTGAGCAATGGGCAATTTCTGCCTCTCAGAGAGGTTCCCACTGACACCATTGATATTTTCTAGCTATCTATAAGGGGGTAATTCTTCCCAATGACCATAGATGTAAGGAACATTCGTCCCATTGACCATCACACAAATGTATCATGAGCTGTAGATACAGTAATTTTTTACCAAGGGTTCCCCGAGACCAAAAAGTCATTTCAAGGGTTCCTCTGTGTTGAAGAGGTTGAGAAAGGCTGACTTATTATAGGCGCACCTGTAGGTACAAGCAAAAAAAAACACGACTCTATTAGCAATTTAAGAGAGTGGACCACTGTGTAGGTACATTCTATGGAGATGGAAGTGGGTAGCCACCACTGACAGGGCTTCCATCTTCACCAAGTCCTTCTTCCGGGTTTGCGGGCTCCGCAGCTTGAATGGCCGAGCAGCGATGATGTCACTCCCGAGCATGGGTCACTTTTTACAGCACTCAGCTCTGAAGGAAAGGCATACCTTTCATTTAGAACACATTTACCGATGTCTTCTACAAGTAGGAATCTCAAACGGTGCACATGGAAGTGGGTAGCCACCACTGACAAGGCTTCCATCTTCACCCGGTCCTTCTTCTGGGTTTGCAGGCTCCAGCAGCTTAAATGGCTGAGCCGCGATGATGTCACTCCCGAGCATGGGTCACTTTTTACAGCACTCAGCTCTGAAGGAAAGGCATACCTTTCATTTAGAACACATGTACCGATGTCTTCTACAAGTAGGAATCTCAGAAACGGTGCACATGGAAGTGGGTAGCCACCACTTGCAAGGCTTTCATATTCACCCGGTTCTTCTTCCGGGTTTGTGGGCTCCAGCAGCTCGAGAGGCCAAGCCGCGATGACGTCACTCCCGTGCATGATTTATTTTTTATGGCACTCAGCTCTGAAGGAAAGGCATACCTTTAATTTAGAACGCATGTACCGATGTCTTCTACAAGTAGGAATCTCAGAAACGGTGCACATGGAAGTGGGTAGCCACCACTTGCAAGGCTTCCATCTTCACCCGGTCCTTCTTCCGGGTTTGTGGGCTCCAGCAGCTCGAGAGGCCGAGCCGAGATGATGTCACTCCCGTGCATGAGTTACTTTTTACGGCACTCAGCTCTGAAGGAAAGGCATACCTTTAATTTAGAACGCATGTACCGATGTCTTCTACAAGTAGGAATCTCATAAACGGTGCACGTTTAGGAGATATTTACAGTACCCATAGGTAAGCCTCATTATAGGCGCACCTGTAGGTACAAGTGGAAAAAAAAAAAAGTCTACTAGCAATTTAAGAGAGGGGACCACTGTGCAGGTACATTCTATGGAGATGGAAGTGGGTAGTCACCACTGACAGGGCTTCCATCTTCAACCGGTCCTTCTTCTGGGTTTAATGATGACCTATAATGGCTTTAACAGGGTCATCTATAGAAAACATAGGGTACTGAAGTTTGTTGCCATTTCACGAGTGCATGCAAATTTAAGATTTGACACGGCAGATATCCATTTACTCGGCGCATCCTCATCTTTTATATTTTACCACAAAAAAAAAAAAAAACAGTAATTTATTGCTTTTTTGTGCCCTAAAATCAAATTAAGTGCATTTTTTACTGCAATTTTGCATTTCCTAGACCTTTGCGGTAATATCATACGACATGAAAAATTGGAACTACCAATATTTTATTCTCTAGGGTGTCTGCTTTCAGAAAATATATCATGTTTGGGGGTTTTGTGTAATCTTCAGGCCTAAAATGATTTTTTTAAACGTGTGCAAAAAACGCAAAAAGCGGCTCTGGCAGCGAAAGGGATAAAGGATAATCCCGACACGCCCCTTTCCTGAGGAGCAGCCAATCAGTGCTCATTACACTGCAAGGTCTCTCCCCTCCTCGCTAGTCCCCGGGTGCGGTGCTGGAGACAGGCAGGGAGGGGAGGAGGAGATATAGTGCAATGTTAAAAAAATTCAATGTTTGAGTCGCCATAAAGCCCCAGACATTCCTTAACCACCTCAAATTTAACCTCCTCGGCGGTCTGATTCTTTCCGATTTTTTGTGCTCAAAGCGGTACATTATTTTGCATGGAAATATGTAGTTTTTTAATTGTAGGCCTGTAATTTTTAGGAATAACTCACTGAAATCTGTCCGAACAAGAGTCTATTAAACATCCCGGGGATGATAAAATTTGAAATACGAAATCATAAATTATAATATAATAAATAATCATAAAAAAATAATAATATAATAATAATACATTTAATTCAATAATATAATCAAACCAAAAACACTGAAATGTGAAATATAGCGCCAAGTTCGCACATCGCTGAGCAAAGTCGCAGAATTGTTTTCAGTGTCTGATGACGAATTTCCCCCACGAATCATTATCACTCAATTCTGCAAGTGGTTCTGATTTACTATCGCTGTTCTCTAGCCGGTCTAAAACCGCTTTTGACGTAAAGGGACGCTTTTTGGACGCCAGGGACGTTTCTAAGTTTCCAGGCAGAAAGAACAGTCAAAATGCAGGCAGGGCGCAGGACAAAGCACTCGGGACAAAATGTATGTGAAATGCATTGAAACAGCAATGTTATACTATGTAATAGTCATTTTTAAAAAATTTCAAATTTGCCGCCGGTTCCGGCGCCCGTACGACACAGGGACCGGAACACGGAAGCTGGATGCCAGCATCGGCCGGAGGAGATGGCCGGGGACGCTGCAGGGGACACATCGCGGGAGCAAAGGACAAGGTAAGTGCTGAAGGGACTCCCTATGCAGCACCGCATGGTAAGCCCGAGTGTAGCTCGGGGGGGTTACCGCTTTTGGTACTGAAACTCTACCCTGAGCTACACTCGGGAATACCGCCAGGGAGGTTAAATACGGTTTCGGTTAAATTTTTTTTTCTTTTTTTAAATCGGGACAAGTAGATTGGGACCCAGATTTAGTCCCTGGACAAGTAGTTTTTTCAAAAATATCCACACCCTGAAGGTACAAGTGACAAATCAGAGATTACTACCATTTTAAAGCTACAAAACCAACAAAAACCTGGCAAGAGTTCTAAAGGTAAATAAAAAAAAAAAAAGTTTTAGTTGGGAGATGTAGTTTAACCCCTTCAATACCGGTCACTTTCACCCCCTTCCTGCCCAGGCCAATTTTCAGCTTTCAGCGCTGTCGCACTTTGAATTACAATTGCGCGGTCATGCAACACTGTACCCATATGAAATTTTTTTATATTTTTTTTCACACATGTAGAGCTTTCTTTTGGTGGTATTTAATCACCATTGAGTTTTTTATTTTAAAAAAAAAAACAAAAACCTGAAACTTTTGAAAAAAAAAAAAAAAAAAAACGCACTTTTCTTCGTTTCTGTTAAAAAATTTAGCAAATAAATACAATTTCTTCATAAATTTAGGTCAAAATGTATTCTGCTACATTTCTTTGGTGAAAATAATAACATTGAATTTGTATTTTTTTTTTCAAATGCTTCTATTTTTGATTACATTTTTCTTTTTTTTTTACTATTTTATTTTTCAGTACACTGTGACCAAAGCAATATAATGTTACCATAGTAACATTGAACTACTCTGGGCATGTGATCGGGATTTTTTTTTTTTTTTTTTTTTTTTTACACATTGTGATTGCTAATACCGATGTATTTTATTGATATTTGCAATCACTGTTACTGAATGAGACTGATTCAGTCTTTTGTTATGATTAGCTGTGATTAGGCAAAGCTGATCACATGATACAGATGGGCTGTGATTGGCCCCTTCTATATCATGTGACTGCCTTGACCAGTCACAGCTAACAACATAATTGTATACAATGGATGGCATGACAGGAAGCCATCCATTGTATACTATCGGTATGTGATCTGCTGTGATTGGTCACATGACACTGGCAACGGGCCGGTGTAGTGATATGGACACAGCCGGTGACAGATCGCGCTGCTGTGTGGCCCCCGCACTCCTGTGCGAATCACATGCGATTTCTGTGCGGTGCGACCTGAGGCATACATTTTGCATGGCTCTAATCGCACCGCACCAAAAATGTGCAGGACCCTTTTTTTTTGGTCCGCACTAGAATCAGATCGCATGGGTATTCACATGCGATCCGATTCTGCACATCGCACTGTGTTTTGCGGACCGATTTTGGGGTGTTAACATACACACCTGCAGCGATTCGCATGAACGGGGTGCGATTCTGATGCGGTGCAGCATTTGCAATGCAAACGCTGTGAATTCCGCATCAGTGTGAACCAGGGCTTAAATTGAACCCTTCCTCTGTAGAGCAGCATACAATGAGTGGAACTACACTGAAGTGACGTATCCTATTTAATCGACATCCTAGAACACAGGTGTCAAACACAAGGCCGAATCTGGCCCTCCAGGCCTTTTCACGTGGCCCTTGCACCTCTCCTGCAGGTACCCCCTTGTCTCCGCTCCCACTTTGTCTCAGCACTCAGCAGCAGAGAGGAGAATAGAACTCCTCTGCCAAATCCTGCACCTCTCATTGCAGCTGCAGCACCCCCTCATTTCTGCCTCCCCTGGTCTCAGCATTCAGCAGACTCTGGTAACTGACTCCTCCTCTGGTCCTCCTCCAGACCCTGAATTTTCTGCTTTCCAGCTCAAAGAAGGTGCACAATGATATTAAGGAGGGTTTGGGATTCTTGACATTCTTCTATAACGGGGGGGGGGGGGGGGGGGGGTGCTCTGGACATCTAGTCTTACAGATACAACCGGCCCTTTGAGGGCAACCATAATCCGGATACGGCCTGCCATGAAATGGAGTTTGACACCCCTTTCCTAGAATCATCATGGTTACACACCCCATCAATCCACCCTTCGACAAACAAAAATTTGTATTTTCGTGGCTCAGAAAGCCAAGCGGGAACACTAATCCTGGTTTTCCGAACCAAATTTGTTTTCACCATAAACAGCACAAAAGCAGTGTCTGGAAACATACGGCACACACGGGGTTAATCACCCTCATGCAGTTGGCATGTAACCTTCTGCATGCGGTCAGAAAGCAGACGAAACATTAAAGGTTGATGGAACAGGCGCAGTGTGCCAGTGACGTTTATGTGTGCGCACTACACAGCCGGACTATTGTCTGCCCGTATCCTACTCACGGTGACAAAGCCCCAGAGTCATTCAGCATCCCTGACCTATACACAAGGCTGTGTCATTGTACCCCCCCGAGAACAGGACGGCCTAGGGTGACCTCACCACATCGGGGCGCTCAGACTGTTAATTGGGGCTTTGTCCGCAAAAAACGGACCGCTGAAGGACTTGTACAATGGCTGCGATTTAGAACGCAGGCATACGGCCTTTGAAGTTGCTGGAGAAGGGGCCTGGCGACCTTCTGAAAGTCAATGTCACATGCATTTAAAAGGACGTGGTAATGAAAATGAATTTGTTTTTAAAGTGGAACTCAAAACTTTCATTCCTAGAATGAAAAAAAAAAAAAAAAAAAAAAAAAAAAAAAAAAAAAAAATCGCATGCAAAGCTGATTTTATCAAAAGAATTTCTGTTTTGTTTCAGGAGGTGCCCTCTTAGAAAAAGTAGATATCTAAGCATTTCCTGTTGCTACGGAAACTACGAGGATCTGAAAAAAAAAAAAAAAAAAACCTTTTCAGATTCCTTTTCCCCCTTCTCTGTTCCCCTCTTCATCCTCACCCGGCCCCAAAACATGTCAGAGTAAAGCTAGGTCTGGGCAGACTTTTTTTGTGATCTTGTTCTGGAACAATAAAGTTTTGCAAAGCCCACTGTCATTTTCCTGCGGTCGAGTTCCTTGCTTGTATTAAAAAGCTTGCCTGTCACAGACAACTAGGGGTCATGTCACCAACTATTTTTAAAGTGATTAAATTGTTTTCTGACAAAAATTAACCAATCACAGCTCTCGCAGTATTTCTCAATGGCTGCAAGAATGGCCAATCAGTGATCACATGAATAGTAGTAATGCAGGCCATAGACAGGTCGTTTATCGGTCAAATTTTCGTCCGACCGAAAAATCGGCCAATATTCACACCGTTAGTGGGGCAATGCCGTCGGCCGTTTTTTCGCGAATCTTCTTGTTTCTTTTTATCGGTCATGCTGGAAAATCTACAAAAAACGGACGTTTTTCGTAAGCATTGGTGGCAGCAACGACCGATTTTACGTTTATCGCCCAACAATTTGGCTGATAAACGGCCCGTCTATGGCCAGCCTAAGCAAGATGTCACTTCTTGACATCATTGCTTACTACTTCTGAAATCTGCGAATGATCACAGAGATCACATGGTACAGGGCTATTCACAACAGCCTTGTACTATGTGACAAACTGTGACCAATCACAGCTCTTACAGTATTTCTCAATGGCTGCAGGAATGGAGAGAAGGAGAAATGATTGCTTTTACAGCCTTTATGGGTGGAAAAGCAATCAGTGTAAAAAAAAAAAAAAATCATCACCCCCCACATGTAGTACAGTGTCACTATGGTGACACTGTACTGCTAGGGTGACAGTATGTTAAAAAAAAATATAAAAAAAATAAAATAAAAAAAAGTAAACAAATTTTTTCAAAAATTATAATTTTTGGTTATAAATTAATTTGGTTTTTTTTTTTTTGTATTAAAAAGCTGAATAAATTTTGTCCAAGATATATGAAGAATGATTATTTGCAAAATTTTATAAGAAAAACACTTTTTTTCAAAATTTTTGGACTTTTTCATTTATATAGCAAAAAAAATAAAAATCCCAGTGGTGAATAAATACCACCAAAATAAAGTTTTTATCTGTCTCAAAAAAATGCTAAAAAATTCATATGGGTACAGTATTGCATGACTGCGCAATTGTCAAAGTGTGTTTGCGCTGAAAGCTGAAAATTGGCCTGGGCAGGAAGGGGGTGAAAGTGTCCGGACTTGAAGTGGTTAATGCACAAAAACATGATATAATACCACATTTTTTGGTAAAATATAAAAGATGTTGTTAAACCAAGAAAACAGATACCAAACATGTCATGCTTTAAAATCTCGCACGCTCACGGAATGGCGACAAACTACAGTACTTTAAATTATCCATAGGCGACGCTTTAAAAGCCTTTACAAGTTACCAGTTTGAGGTAACACAGGAGGTCTGGGGCAAAAATTATTGCTCTGATGTTCACAGTTCACGTGTGGTGTGATCACTGTATGAATATGCGTGCGGGACTCACGCATGCGTGAGCACAACGTGACAGGGGTGCTTTAAAATTCTTATTTTTTTTTATTTTATGGACTATTTATTTTTTAAAAACACACTTTAATGAATTTGAATGCACAAAAATATAATATAATACCACGTTTTGGTAAAATATAAAAGATGTTGTTAAACCGAGAAAATAGATACCAAACATGTCATGCTTTAAAATTGCGCACGCTCACGGAATGGCGACAAACTACAGTACTTTAAATTATCCATAGGTGACGCTTTAAAAGCCTTTACAAGTTACCAGTTTGAGGTAACACAGGAGGTCTGGGGCAAAAATGATTGCTCTGTCCACGGTTCACGTGTGGTGTAATCACTGTATATATATATGTGTGCGGGACAAACGCATGCGTGAGCACGAGGTGACAGGGGTGCTTTAAAAAATGTTTTTAATTTTTTTTTACTGTTTATTTTTTCACTGTTTCTTTAATAAAAAAAAAAAAGTGATTGCTTATATAAAAAAGGGAGAAAAAAGATTTATAAAAAAAAACCCAAAAAAAAACAAACAAACAAACAGTAATTGTTTATGATACTATATCAAACAACTTCAGTCAGTTATGCAGGCCATACATGGTTCGAATTCCGAACGATTTTTCATCCGAAAATCAGAAATGTTGTTCGCTCGGTAATCCGATGGTGCCATCATTGATTTCGAAAATCGGCCGACCGAGTCATAAAGTTCACCCCATATAACAGGCGAAACTTCTGTTCCTTCCTTCACGGCTCATGCGCATATTCTTTTCGGAAAAAACGATCGCACGATTTGACCATCAATGAGTCGAAAATCGGTTAGTTTTTCACAAATTTTCCAACATGCCTGATCACCGAAAAGGGGAGGAACCACGAAAATCGTCCGGTGCCATTGACCTACTAACAGAGCGAAAATCGGCCGATTATTCTTAGGTCTGCTTTTCAGACGAAAAATTGGTCGATTTTCGACCCATGTAAGGCCTGCCTTAGGCATTACCTCTACTTTAATCGATCTCAAAACAGGAATATATTTTGTGGAAAGAGCTGGTAATTTTCTGCACAGCCAATCAAAAGGTTCTTTTGAAACAAAGCAGAGCCCGCACCGATCAACAGGGAATTCATCAGCAGATCTCTTGCTGAATAGGATGGATGTAATTGTTTTGATATCTGAGCCTAGCGGACATGGGCGGACCCATGACAGCTCTATGGGCAATCTCCGATGCATCACATTCAGCTCTGGAAAAACGGAAAAGAATGCAGTCCTTTTAGGGTTTTTTCTGGTCTGGGAGGTAGGCGGGTGTAAACGGACACAAGTCCATATTCACCCGCCTGTCCATAGAGCTGCACGGGGCATCTGATCAGGTCCACCTGAAAAATTGACAGGCAGATCTGATCAGAATGCCTGCATGAAAGGGGCACAAGAAATGCAGGTTGCGGACTGGTGGAGAGGGCACAGAGATAATTTCATCAGCGAGCGCGAAGGTGTGCATATGAATTCTATCAATTCCTTCTGTAATGAATTCTATTACCTGCAGGGCATTGGAGTGGTCATTCTGACAGGACAGTTCTTGCTCCACCTCAGAGACCTCCATTAGATGGCGCTCACTGACCAGCCGTGACAGCTCCCCCACCACCGTCACGTGCTTGGACACCGCTCCGGACATCTTCTTGAACTGCGGGTAATTTTCTACAAATGCCTGACCGAGACAAACAATCAATGAGAGCGATGTACTGGTGATCGCTGGTCACTTCTTGAACATGCTTGTTGCCTGGCTGTCATCCTCCCCAGCTAAAGCCAGAACTGCAGAACTGGATACTTTTGTCGAGTCAGGGAAGCAAAGCAGGAGATCTACTAAAACTGGAGAGTGCAGAATCTGGTGTAGCTCTGCATAGAAACCAATCAGCTTCCAGGTATTATTACCAAAGCTTCACTGAACAAGCTCAAGTTAGAAGCTGATTGGCTACCATGCAGAGCTGCACCCGATTCTGAGTGCACCAGTTTTAGCCTAGATTCACATGTTCTAAAATCGCTTTGTAGGACGATCCCACCCTGTGATTTACATGCAGTTGTGCTTGAACAGCAATCTGTTTATCACGCGATTTTACATTATCTGCATTTTTGGAGCTGCTGGCCCCATAGAGTCCCTCCGTCCTTCAGTCCAGCCTTCCATGTCCGTCCTTCCATCCTTCAGTCCAGCCTTCCGTGTCCGTCCGTCCATCCTTCCTTCAGTCCAGCCTTCCTTCAGTCCGTCGTTCCTGCCACCCTTCAATCCGTCCTTCCTTCCTTCAGTCCGTCCTTCCTTCCTTCCTCCCTTCAGTCCGTCCGTCCTTCCTTCCTCCCTTCAGTCCGTCCTTCCTTCCTTCCTCCCTTCAGTCCGTCCTTCCTTCCTTCCTCCCTTCAGTCCGTCCTTCCTTCCTTCCTCCCTTCAGTCAGTCAGTCCGTCCTTCCGTCCTTCCTTCCTTCCTTCCTCCCTTCAGTCCGTCCTTCCTTCCTTCCTCCCTCACCTTCAGTCCGTCCTTCCTTCCTTCCTCCCTCCCTTCAGTCCGTCCTTCCTTCCTTCCTCCCTCCCTTCAGTCCGTCCTTCCTTCCTTCCTCCCTCCCTTCAGTCCGTCCTTCCTTCCTTCCTCCCTCCCTTCAGTCCGTCCTTTCCTTCCTTCCTCCCTCCCTTCAGTCCGTCCTTCCTTCCTTCCTCCCTCCCTTCAGTCCGTCCTTCCTTCCCTTCCTCCCTCCCTTCAGTCCGTCCTTCCTTCCTTCCTCCCTCCCTTCAGTCCGTCCTTCCTTTCCTACCTTTCAGTTTCCTCCCTCCCTTCAGTCCGTCCTTCCTTCCTTCCTCTCCTCCCTTCCTCCTTCCTTCCTTCCTCCCTCCCTTCAGTCCGTCCTTCCTTCCTTCCTCCCTCCTTCCTTCAGTCCGTCCTTCCTCTCCTTCCTCCTTCAGTCGTCCTTCCTTCCTTCCTTCCTCCCTCCTCCAGTCAGTCCGTCCTTCCTTCCTTCCTCCCTCCCTCCTTCAGTCCGTCCTTCCTTCCTTCCTCCCCTCCTTCAGTCAGTCCCCTTCCTTCCTTCCTCCCTCCCTTCAGTCCGTCCTTCCTTCCTTCCTCCCTCCCTCTCCTTCAGTCTGTCCTTCCTTCCTTCCTCCCTCCCTCCCTTCAGTCCGTCCCTTCCTTCCTTCCTCCCTCCCTCCCCTCAGTCCGTCCTTCCTTCCTCCTCCCTCCCTCCCTTCAGTCCGTCTCCCTCCCTCCCTTCAGTCCGTCCTTCCTTCCTTCCTCCCTCCCTCCCTTCAGTCCGTCCTTCCTTCCTTCCTCCCTCCCTCCCTTCAGTCCGTCCTTCCTTCCTTCCTTCCCTCCCTCCCTTCAGTCGTCCGTCCTTCCTTCCTTCCCCCTCCCTCCCTTCAGTCCGTCCTTCCTTCCTTCCTCCCTCCCTCCCTTCAGTCCGTCCTTCCTTCCTTCCTCCCTCCCTCCCTTCAGTCCGTCCTTCCTTCCTCCCTCCCTCCCTTCAGTCCGTCCTTCCTTCCTCCCTCCCAGTCCGTCCTTCCTTCCTTCCTCCCTCCCTTCAGTCCGTCCTTCCTTCCTTCCTCCCTCCCTTCAGTCCGTCCTTCCTTCCTTCCTTCCTCCCTCCCTTCAGTCCGTCCTTCCTTCCTCCCTTCAGTCCGTCCTTCCTTCCTTCCTCCCTTCAGTCCGTCAGTCCGTCCTTCCTCCCTTCAGTCCGTCCTTCCTCCCTTCAGTCCGTCCTTCCTCCCTTCAGTCCGTCCTTCCTCCCTTCAGTCCGTCCTTCCTCCCTTCAGTCCGTCCTTCCTCCCTTCAGTCCGTCCTTCCTCCCTTCAGTCCGTCCCTTCCTTCCGTCCTTCCTGCCACCCTTCAGTCCGTCCTTCCTTCCTGCCACCCTTCAGTCCGTCCTTCCTTCCTGCCACCCTTCAGTCCGTCCTTCCTTCCCCTGCCACCCTTCAGTCCGTCCTTCCTTCCTGCCACCCTTCAGTCCGTCCTTCCTTCCTGCCACCCTTCAGTCCGTCCTTCCTTCCTGCCACCCTTCAGTCCGTCCTTCCTTCCTGCCACCCTTCAGTCCGTCCTTCCTTCCTGCCACCCTTCAGTCCGTCCTTCCTTCCTGCCACCCTTCAGTCCGTCCTTCCTTCCTGCCACCCTTCAGTCCGTCCTTCCTTCCTGCCACCCTTCAGTCCGTCCTTCCTTCCTGCCACCCTTCAGTCCGTCCTTCCTTCCTGCCACCCTTCAGTCCGTCCTTCCTTCCTGCCACCCTTCAGTCCGTCCTTCCTTCCTGCCACCCTTCAGTCCGTCCTTCCTTCCTGCCACCCTTCAGTCCGTCCTTCCTTCCTGCCACCCTTCAGTCCGTCCTTCCTTCCTGCCACCCTTCAGTCCGTCCTTCCTTCCTGCACCTTGTTCACCCTTCAGTCCGTCCTTCCTTCCTGCCACCCTTCAGTCCGTCCTTCCTTCCTGCCACCCTTCAGTCCGTCCTTCCTTCCACCTTTCAGTCCGTCCTTCCTTCCACCTTTCAGTCCGTCCTTCCTTCCACCTTTCAGTCCGTCCTTCCTTCCTTCCTTTCAGTCCCCTTCAGTCCGTCCTTCCTTCCACCCTTCAGTCCGTCCTTCCTTCCTCCCTCCTTCCTTCCTTCCTCCCTTCAGTCCCTCCTTCCTTGCTTCAGTCAGTCCTTCCTGCCTTCAGTCTGTCCTTCCTCTATATACCACAAAATTGCATTGCACTTACTCAGAAATCACACATGACCCTTTTGTAAAAACGCAGTGCGATTCAACCACACATATCTGAACACCCTCCATAGAAACACACATTCTGCCAACTGTCACCCGATTCCTGCTGATAGAAACACACTCAAAATTGTATATATGTGAACCAGGGCTTAGTAAATCTCCCCCAAAGCATTCAAGCCACAAGTCAACACGAAAGTCAAGCAACTGCCATTTTCAACGGATGACCAGCAATGGATACCCATCTTTTTCTTGTGGAACAGGAGTCAGACAGAACGGCCAATGAAATACCAGCTTCTACTAATCCAAAATGTGATTGGCTGCTGTGCTGAAACCAGTCTAGAACACTCCATTAATTATGTGCAGATGTACCTTCATGTCTGAAATGGATTCCAGTTTCTGCTGCTCTTTAGGCTTCTTCTTTTGAAAATCTTCCATAAGATTTTTAATGTTGGTCCCGATTTCTCCAAAATTCAAGTACATGTTCTGTAAGGGAAAAAAAATGTATATATTTATGAACTTCATGTACAGTTGTGCTCAAACGTTTGCACCCCCCCGGCAGAAATTGTGAAATTTTGGCATCGATATTAAAAATATGACTGGTCATGCCAAAAAATGCTCTTTTATTGAAGGATGATGATCATATGAAGCCATTTTATTATCACAGAGTTGTTTGGCTCCTTTTTTAATCATAATAACAGAAATCACCCAAATGGCTATGATCAGCAGTCTCCGCCCCCTGCATCAGCAGTCTCCGCCCCCTGCATCAGCAGTCTCCGCCCCCTGGAATGTTTGGCCTTGGTACAGACACACAAGGTGACACACACACGGGTTAAAATGCCAATTAGAGGTTAATGTCCCACATCTGTGGCTTTTTAAATTGCAATTAGTGTCAGTGTATAAATAGTCAATGAGTTTGTAAGCTCTTACATGGAAGCACTGACTAGGCTAGATACTGAGCCATGGGGAACAGAAAAGAACTGTCAAAAGTCCGGCGTAACAAGGTAATGGAACTTTATAAAGATGGAAAAGGACATAAAAAGATGTCCAAAGCCTTGAATATGTCAATCATCACTTCCACTAAGAAGTAGAAAATTCAGGGACCTCTTGATTCCAAGCCAAGGTCAGGTACCAAGAAAGATTGAAGCCACAACTGCCAGAAGAATTGTTCGGGATACAAAAGGGAAACCCATAGGTAACCACAAGAAAAATCCAGGCTGCTCTGGAAAAAGACAGTGTGGTTGTTTTGAAGGACGGAGCAGCGGCTGGGATGTGTGCATGCTCGGGTGCCCCCATAGCAAACTGCTTGCTGTGGGGGCACCCGACAGAAGGGAGGGGCCAGGAGCACTGGTGGGGGACCCGAGAAGAAGAGGAGGATCCGGGCTGCTCTGTGTAAAACCACTGCAGACAGTAAGTACAGACATGTTTGTTATTAGAAAAAAAAATGAAGCCTTTAGAATCACTTTACCATTTGTTGACATTTTATACATAACCTCATGTTACTGGAATCACAGGAGAGTGCTTTTTGTGCAGCGCAGGAGTGATTTCTTGCAAAAATTTGGATCTTAAACGCTCCCAGGATCTCAATTAACTTTTCTCCAATTTTTGTTTTTCTCTGCAGGTACAGGGTGGCATTTTGGCACGGGGGTGAGGGCCTGATCCTCCTGATCTAAGTGCAAGGCCCTCTGTGACCGAGAGACCCTTCAGCTTGGCAACACAATGAGATCTCTGTGCTTCTGCAGTTACCAGGCTTACTTTAGAGCAGCCTTTCTAAACCAGGGTGGGTGCCTGGGCACCCCGGGGTGCCTTGAGGTTTCTTTGGGCACACTTGCCCAAAACCTGTATACAAGCCAGCGGGTGGAACAAGCCTGCCTTTTAGTTACACAAAGTCACAGGTTACCATTGTGCACCTTTACGACCTTCTAGCCGCCGGCGTCCTGACAACCAATGACATCATCAGTTGATAAGGAGGATGTCAGCTGCCTGCACAGCATCCTAGTTTTCCCCTCCCCCGCCCCTCTCCATCAGTGCTGGGGTCACATTAGCTCAGTGATGGAGAAAAACTGAGGGAGAGGAGAAACATTGGAATACTAGTCAGTACCAGTGTGCAGAAGTGTATTTGTTTTGGAAGAATAAATCCCCTCTAATGTGGGGTGTCCTACATGTGTGGATGTGGCTGCGTTACATAAAACTATTAGAACAGTTCTTCACATTTTAGAATGGGGTGCCTCAAGACTGTCGAAAATTTTAAAGGAGGCCTCAGGACTGTCCGTCATTTCAAAGGGTGCCTCGACACTGTCCGTCATTTCAAAGGGTGCCTCGACACTGTTCGTCATTTCAAAGGGTGCCTCGACACTGTCCGTCATTTCAAAGGGTGCCTCGACACTGTCCGTCAGTTTAAAGGGTGCCTCGACACTGTCCGTCAGTTTAAAGGGTGCCTCGACACTGTCCGTCAGTTTAAAGGGTGCCTCGACACTGTCCGTCAGTTTAAAGGGTGCCTCGACACTGTCCGTCAGTTTAAAGGGTGCCTCGACACTGTCCGTCAGTTTAAAGGGTGCCTCGACACTGTCCGTCAGTTTAAAGGGTGCCTCGACACTGTCCGTCAGTTTAAAGGGTGCCTCGACACTGTCCGTCAGTTTAAAGGGTGCCTCGACACTGTCCGTCAGTTTAAAGGGTGCCTCGGGACTGTCCGTCAGTTTAAAGGGTGCCTCGGGACTGTCCGTCAGTTTAAAGGGTGCCTCGGGACTGTCCGTCAGTTTAAAGGGTGCCTCGGGACTGTCCGTCAGTTTAAAGGGTGCCTCGGGACTGTCAGTCATTTGAAAGGGTGCCTCGGGACTGTCCGTCATTTGAAAGGGTGCCTCGAGACTGTCCGTCATTTGAAAGGGTGCCTCGAGACTGTCCGTCATTTGAAAGGGTGCCTCGAGACTGTCCGTCATTTGAAAGGGTGCCTTGACTGGAAAAAAAGGTTGAGAAACACTGCTGCGGAGAATACATCAACCACAGGATAATGAGAAACTGAAAAACATATTAAAAGGAGACTAGCCCCACCTACTGACTGAATACCAGAATGCATATTATTCATATACATTATTGTAAAGATGACTGAATACATTAAAAACAAAAAGGACAGATTCCTGACCATACATGTGTGCAAATCCTCCATACATTCCCTTTAAGGCCCCATGCACACAGGACGTTAAAGAAAAAAAATAAATAAAAACTCTCCTAGAAGGTGTCCTCCTAGCAGCAGCATTTAATAAAAAAATGCCTGGTGCTTGTAAAAGTGTAACTCTTTTATAAATGTTTAGGCGCGTTTACAAGCTTCAAGCACTTCGGCGTTAAATTAATTTAATTGGCCAGAATGCAAATTTATTCTGGCCGTTGAAATGAATGAACGCTGAAGCATTAAAACGCGCCTAGAAGTGTTGAGCGTTTTTTCTGCCAAAACACTGCTGGTCCTGGATGCCTGGCTCTGGGGGTTATTTTCAGGCTGGTAAACGCTTCTAAGTCCTCATGCACACTGGGGGGGGGGGGGGGGGGGGGACGTTTTGAGAACACTGGTAACGTTAGCTGTGTAAAGCCACTTTAAAAACGTGTGTTTTTCAGCTTTTTTTTTATCATTTTTGCATTAGTGTATAGCGGCTTTTTCACGCATTTGCGTTTTTTAGCTTTTTTTTTTTTTTACCATTGTGCCATTTTACCGCGTTTTTACAGCTACAATAAAAAAAACCTCTAAAATCCCACTAGTCCTGTTTTTTTTTTTTTCCAGCCAAAAAACATCCAGACACTTCCACCCCCTTCCTCTCCAGGCCAATTTTCAGCTTTCAGCGCTATTGAATGACAATTGCGCAGTCATGCAACACTGTGCCCATATGAATTTTTTAGCATTTTTTTTTTTTAGACAGATAAAACTTTATTTTGGTGGTATTTATTCACCACTGGGATTTTTATTTTTTTTATATATATATAAATGAAAAAGTCCAAACATTTTGAAAAAAGTGTTTTTCTTATAAAATTTTGCAAATAATCTCTCTTCATAAATCTTGGCCAAAATGTATTCAATTATCTTTTTTATATTATTATTTATGGTTTTTTTTTTACATACTGTCACCCTAGCAGTAGTGTCACCATAGGGACACTGTACTACTTGTGGGGATTGATGATTTTTTTTTTTTTTTACACTGATTGCTTTTACACCCATAAAGGCTGGCTGTAAAATCAATCATTTCTCCTCTCTGGCTGCATTCCTGATGAGGATTACCGAGCATCTCCAACAGAGAGGAAGTATTGTTTTGTTTACTAACAGTCTTCCTCCCAGTCAGCTCAGGCACACTGCACAGCACAGCCATCCCAATCAGTGTGCTTACAGTGAAGAACACACCCCCCGCCCCCACCCCCAGTAAACCACTCCCAGCAAACCACTCCCAGCACACATTTAAGGCTTTGATCGCCCCTCACATTAACCCCTTCCTGTCCAGTGCCATTAGTACACTGTCAGTGTTGTTTTTTTAGCACTGATCATT